CAGCTATTCTGGACCCCACAATCAACCCTAGTTCACTAAGTTGTACGAAGTATATTGAACCTGAACCTTATTTTCTTTAAAAAAAAAAATAATGAAATAAAAACTAGTTGTGTATTGAACCTGAACCTTGAAAAATAAAAAAAAAATAAAAAAACTTGGACCTCACTAAATAATTACCCATTCACCCGACATTGACCCGGCAATCCTAACCCGATCCATGACCCGAAATTAACCCAAAAATGTTAACCCGAAATTGATCTTATACCCAAATTAACTCGATACCCAAAGCGACCCGAAACCCAAAGTGACGCAACCCGATCTTAACCCTACAGACTCAAAAACACAAAACAACCAGAAATGACCTGACCCATAATTAACATCTTTGTGTGAGAATAACAAGACTCATTTTCCTCTACACTCTGATTTCTCTAAGCTTGTACTTCGTAATATTTATTTTATCTCTCTATATTCATAAGATTTATACTTTTATGATATCTCCCATTTCATCACTCTCTAAATACATACGGTGGAAAATATTTTCCTTTAGAAAATAATGGAAATCTTATTTTTCTTCCCTCCTTTTACTTCTCTCTTATTAATCCTCACATTACTATTCCTACTTTTAAGAAGGGGAAAAAGTAACACGGAGTAACAACATTTAATTACATGAGTCAAAATATGTCAACTATAAGCAATAGTTTTACAGTATTAAACAACATAGTCAATAACAGACAATCTAACAAACTTGGTTCCCAATGATTCAGCAAATTCGAAGCATACTTCAAATCTTCCACACTAGTCAGCATCATCCACTCTTTATCTTCATCTTGATAAAGCAATCTATATTTGTTCAACTCAAGTTGGAACTTCATGCCTATTTCTTCAATTAGTTGATTAATCGGTAAAGTCAAAGAGAAAACAATTCTCACTGAAAGCTCCTTGTAAGTGGCTTTTACAACAATTGTGCCTGAACTTTCAGTTGTATGAAGAGCGCCTTCCAGATGCCCTTGGACTTGTTGCTGGATATCCATATGGCTTTCAATTAAGGGCTCTTCCAAATGCAGGTCTGATCCCATTATACACTGCACATTTTCCGTGTGAGCTGCTGAACTACCTAGGTTCACCACATTCTGTTGTGAGCAATAACTTTCAAATGGTGCTGTATTGTTTGTTTTCCTCTTTGCATCAGGCTGTTGTTTTCTTCCTTTTCTTGGCCACTTCTCGACACCCAATTCTTTTATTGTTCGTTTCAATGTAGACCTCGATACTGCAAATTGAAGTCAAGTATGATTAATCATTTAGAAAAGCCAAGTATGATACTGCAAATTGAAGTCAAGTATGATAAAGAAGCTCAAGCAGTTAATTTTTTTATGGAAATCATCGGGATGACAGGATGTCTATCTCAGTCTTAATGATAAATTAATTTTCAAAAACCATCCTTATAAAGTCATAACCACAAATTTAGTTATGGACCATTAACATTAATTAGGGAATATAGGTAAACAAATATTTTCACGAGTATAAATGTGACCACACTATTTATAAAAGTTCAAAGAGACAATTAACATCAATGAAGACAATTAAGTAAGCAAACATATATAATTAGAGGTTCGCACATTGTAAATAAGAGTTTGCTTGAAATTATTAAAAGGCAGGGATCAAAATTTCACATGAACATCTAAATTTGCTTAGTTTCCATTTTTATCAACCAAAAAAAAAAAAAAATTGTGTAGTGTCCATGATGTAAATTTATGTTACTCCGCACATGGCACAACATTACTCAATGTTTTAATAGTTTTGCTCTAGGAAAAAGTTCTCAATTGAAGTTTTGCATTGAATACAGCATTATTATTCCTTTTGAAATATCAGTGGCATCAATAGAAATTAAAACTTCAATGAATAAACAGATTTTGGCAAGAGTATGTAAATGCAGGTCTCAGATAATTAACAATTCTAATACAAACAAAATGCGATCATGATACCTCCAAATATTTTTTCTGCAGTTTCTTGTAGTGACATCGGGTTTTCGGACCAACATTGTTGTAGCTTCTCTTCAGATATTTCAATTCTACTATTTCTCTCCACTTATTGTGTTGAGGGACCTGTTTCTGCCCATTTTCTAAATCATGATGACTGTTCTCACCATTATCTTGCTCAATACCACCTTGTGCTGTTGTTATGTGCTCAATAGAGCCCATACTTATACTGTTGAAAGGATCTGCTGATGTCTGCTCATCAGGGACAGTTTCATGAATTTCTATGTTGGCATTTTGATACGAGAGTTATTCATATGTGTGAAGTATGCATCATCCGTGTCATCAATGATGATAAAAAAATGCAAGTTATGACATATGAATTACTGGCAACATTTAATTACTCTAGGAACAACAGTTACTTCATCTTCGCTTTCATCGGAGGCTGAGGCTTGGTAAAGGGAAGCATCATAGGCGTTGCTCTTGTAGTATGCTTCTTCTGTGTATCGATGATGGACACTTGCTTCAGATTCCTTGGCAATCTTTCAAGTTAAAAACACTTGGGGAGGATTAAGTGTAGTAGATTGGCGCAGCTTCACAAAACTAGGAGGAAGGGTCTTGATTCTGGTGACGCTGATATCAAGAGTATGCAAATTGACTAACTCATGTAGATTTGATGGTAGTTTTTTCGAGGCTGATACAGTCTTTTGAGTTGTAATTCTTGCAAGTTGTGGAGTCTTGCTATATTTCAGGAAAGAATCCATTTTAGAACATGTAATGGAGAGTGTCTCAGGTTGACTAATTTATTCCAACATTTTTCAAAGATACATCTCAGGTCATTATAATCTTTGAAAACAAAATTTCCAGGTGATGTAGGCCAATAGGAAGTGAGTCAAGTGACTCGAAGGAGCAATCCACAAGCCTGAGTTTGTGAATATACATACATGGTGGCAATGACTCGCAATAATCACAGGAATTGAGATCCAGACTCCTTAAGTTAGTTAACTTTTCCAAGCTATCATAAAGTGGCCTCATATTGCAAGATGATAAAGAGAGATGTTTGAGGCTGACAGGCATATTAAAATTTTCCAAGCTATCATAAATGGATAATCGCAGATGTAGTGTTTGTAAATTGGATAGCTTGCTTAAGCTGTGAATAACGGACTCATCAATTTCAACATCAGAAGAGTCGAGAGAGAGATGTGTAAGCCTTGTGAATGTGACAAAGTAGTTATCCGGGAGGCAAATATGATCAGTGAAGTAGAGATAGAGGTGGTGAGCTCACTGAATTGCATTATGGAATCTGTTAACTCCTTAACATTTTCCAAGTCCAAAAATCGAACCAACATGAGTAAATTTCTGTTATTAATAATCCATTGCGAAGGATCATCCTCCTTCAATCGGAGATAACCAGGAGGAGATATGATAGAGGGATTTTGAGCTGCATCATTTCTTATTTCTGCATTGTAGGAGGGGGAGAGAAGAGATAAGCTTGATTATTACATAGTATAACTACCACGTCAACTAGAACAAACAAATTTGGAGTAAAACTGTAAAAGTAAAAGCATTGGCAATGTAAACTTACCTCCACCAAAAGGAATGGGCAATTCTCCTATCTCTGTTTTAAGTTCCTCCCAGGATTTGCGAACATGCCTATCTTTAACAGAAATGATGACCGAATGATTCAAGTCATATGGCAACGTTTCGAGTCTGAAATGTTCGGGCAACATTAGATGTCGGAGTTTGCGTAGCTTCGTGATGCTCCAAGGAAGACACTTGATTTTGGATGATTGAATATCAAGAAGACATAAATGGGCCAACCCATCCAAATTTGCCGGCAATTCAACCAGGGACTCACAGGAAAAGAGAGATAAAGATGTCAAATTGGATAGATTTGCAATGCTCAAAGGAAGTGACTTTATGTTCTTGCAATATTTAAGTTTGAGATGGGTAAGGCTCACCAACTGCCCTATATTTGCCGGCAATTCAACAAGGGAATCACAGGAAGAGAGAGTTAAATAAGTCAAATTGGATAGATTTACAATGCTATCAGGAAGGAACTTTATGTTCTCGCAATAATCAAGCTTGAGATGAGTAAGGCTCACCAACTGCCCTATATTTGCCGGCAATTCTTCCAAACAATAACACTTATAAAATTGCAAGTGCTCCAATTTGTGAAGCCTAGTGATGGTGTTAGACACACATTTCAGGGAATCACAGTACAAGAATTCCAGGCGGATGAGCTGTGTGAGCTCACCTATTGATTCTCCTACCTCTTCCTTTTCATAACAACGCAAGGCTAGACGAGAAGGAGGGTTATTTTTAATCCATGCCTCTGGATCCTCCCTCAATTCCAAGTGACCTTTAGAATCTACTTCTCCGCAAGTTATCATTTCCTTAGCTTCAACAAGAACACCAAAAACCACCTCTTTTAATTTTAATTTCAAACTACAGAAATATAAACTGGGAAATAAAGGAACAAAGAGAGAAGATAAATACTACTCAGTAGTTGCAGCTTTAAGATTCCATCAAGAAATTATCACAACTATCAACTTCAACGTGAACCTCAACCGCAAATAATTAGTTGTGGTTAATAAGAAGAACTAATGACCACATAGATTTATAAATGCATCACAGCTTTTCTGGACCCCACTTAAGTAATTATGCCTTGAACCTGAGCCTCAATGAATTATTATGCATTGAACCTGAACCTCAAGTTATACTTCACTAAGTTAACAGTAACGGCCCATAGTCATACTATGTTGGTATGTTCCTTAAAAAAAAAAAAAAAACAACTCTGTTGGTTTGTATATCTACTAGTTAAAAATAAAAAAAAGTATTCTAAATCTATTAGTCCAGATATTTATTTATTTATTTAAGAAAAATAAAGTAACAACAAGCATTTAATTTTATACGGAGTAGCTTATACTATATGAGTCAAAATATGTCAACTCTATCCAATTACACTCTGTTTCTCTACCTTTTTTTTTTTTTTTTTTTTTTTTTGTTTTTTCAAATTACAAGTGTCTTTTACCCACTTATAAAGCACATATCTAGGGATGTCAGTGGGGCGGGTCAAATAAGAGACCCGCGTTGGGGCGGGTCAAATAAGAGAGCTGCGTTGGGGCGGGGATGAATCTTGGTTTGGCGGGTGATGGGGCGGGGATGGAGATAAAAACCATACCCGCCATGGGTGATGAGGCGGGGTGGATTTTAGGTTTATCCGCCCCACCCGTCCCACTTCGTACCCGCTCCATCCCCACCCACCCCACTTCGTACCCGCTCCATCTCCACCCACCCCACTTCGTACCCGCCCCATCCCCACATCCATATATTTTTAAAAACAAAATTATATACTTTTATACTATTTTATAAAAAAAATTATGTAAAATAAAATAGTAAATATAATACTTTGTAATACACTTATATTATAAACAATAGAATGTGTAATATTAATAATAATTTTTTTCTTTTTGCAATCTTTATTAATTATGAAGGATTGTGTATTTGGGAGGCGGGGATTAGGCAGGTCTTAGGTGGGGATTAGGTGGGGGTGATTATTCAAGTGGGGGCGGGGATGGGGATGAATTTTAGACCCGTCGCGGGGATGGGGATGGAGGATGGATATGAAAATTTTAGATTGAGATGAGGATGGGAAGACTAAAATCCGCCCCACCCCGCCCTATTGACAACCCTTGGCGGACCCAGGAACTTCCGGACCCAGGAACTTCCGACTGGTGAGTCACAATCGATAACCAAATATGTAAAAAAAAAATTTCTTACCAAGATCATCCAAATAGAAAATTGACAAGATTACAATACTAACTAATAATTAACAAGCTTAAAATTGACAAGACTAAAATTGACAAGCTAATAAACACCCTAAATAAACACTGACCACAATTCACATAATCACATGGTCAAAAAGGTTCAAATTTCATCAAAAAGACAAAAACCCAACAACATTAACAAAAGGTTCAAAGTTTACAAACAAACAACAACAAAATCAACTAAAGTTTCAAACTTTTACCAAAAAACTAACAAAATCAACGAAATAGAGAGAAGAATCCAATCACTGTGTCTCGACAACCTCCAATTTCCCTTAAACTTATATCAAATAATTTAATAGAATTAACTAATTAGACTGAATTAAATTGAAGATTAGAATTTTAAACTAAAAATTAGAAATCAACTTACTAGCAAAATGAGAATAGGAGAGAGAGGAGGAAGCTTTCGATGATCACCGACAACCCAAATACCAATCAAGAGCAACAACACCATCAATGTGTGGAGGCAGTGGAGCCGGCGAGCCGCCTGTGTGCAGCAGCAGCAGTGAGCGAAGATGAAGAAGAGGAAGAGCAGGAGGAGGTGACCAGCACTGGAAGCAGTGGCGGAGGTCTGCTGATCTGGCCGTCTGGTGATTTGGTGAAGATGAAGCGAAGAGGAAGAGCAGGAGCAGGGCAGGAACACAATTTCTCACCTGCAATCTTAGCTTTCTTCGTTCTACAACCAAATAAACATTAAAAATAACATTAAAAAATTAAATCATGAAATTTTACACATACGCAATTCAATTAGGAACAAATTACAAGTACCCAGATCAAAATTAACAATCAAAAAGTTAAATTGAAGACAAATAGAAGACCTGATGAACAAAATTGATGTTGGGTTGAGAAAGAAAAGATGGGTAAAGGAGAAAAAGAAACAAGAGGATGATGAATTGAAGTGAGAGGCAAACTTTTCAAGAAAAGACTGAACTTTGTTCCTAACATCATCGTTATTATCATCATCAAATACTAGAATTTCACAATCAAGTGATAAGCCATAGTAAATATTCAATCAAATTACAGACATTTGCTAGAAAACAGAAATTACCTTAAGCAATGGAGTGTATCAATAATTCGTCTAGCTCGGAGTGTAAATCTTCGAATATTTTTTTTTTTTTTAAGAAAAAAATTAGAAATTTTTTTTGGGCCTTGGTGACTCATTTGACCCACCAGGCACAAGGCCAATTCCGCCACTAGGCTACAAATATCTAAACATCTATAAATTTTGAATCACACGTCGAAACTAATTTAAGAATATCTCACACGTATTTAGTTTCCCTCTTCATTACAACATTCCAAACAAAAACAGCTCAAAGAAACGGAGTTATATCATTATATTCACTATCCTACAAATAATAAATGTAAGTCAATGAGTCAATATTATTCCGGCACAATTTTCAGCAAATCCATAGTATAACTGTCTCTTTAGAGCAAGATTATTGGAGAGGATATATGTCCTCTTGTGTGGGTTTTTTTTGCTGATTTGGAGTAGTCCTCTTTGATGTTGGGTAATGTAGAGGATCCTCAAGGAGAAGAGGATTACCTTGTCCTTTGTGCCAAGAGGATGAAGTGTCAACTTTTATTTGTTTATTTGTTACATAATTTTATAAACTCAAAAAAATTATAACGGTAATTAATCACAAACGGTAACATATTTTTAAAAACTAATTTTACCAACGGTTGTATTTTTATTTTCTCTATAAAATGAACCTAATTTTGGCCATCTTTTATACACTTCAATTTTGCATCTTTTTCACTCCTTCCTCTCTTTCCTCTCTTTTTATAATTTTCTTTTGTAATGGATGAAAATAATCATAGTTATGGAAGAAATATGAATTTGGCAGAATATTTATGGGCAAGATTTGAGCATACTAGTAATCGGTAAGGAAAAAAGAGGATAATTAGTTATTTGTCTTTAATTTCTTGTATTTGTTGTACTTTAGTGTATCAATTAGTGTTTTTATTCCTAATTTGATGTGTTACTGTATCAAAATATATATAGGTAAGGTAATTTTTATTATGTATGCTAATTATCGAATCCTAATTATTATTATTATTATCATTATTAGACCTTATCATTATAGAAATCAATAAAAAATAATCTTTTACAAAGAAAAAATTTGAAGGTGGGGCCATATTTATAGTATAAAATATATCAAGAGGATACCCTTTGATGTGGGAAAAATAAATGGAAGAGGATGGAAGAGAGGAAAGAGATAGTGGGAAATAAGGTGGATGAAAGAGAGTATGAGGTGTCAAAATAGGGTAAGGAGAGAGAATGTTTGAGAGGACAAAACCATCCTCACCAATATATATGCTCTTAGTAAAGATTAGATGATTTAAGACTATAATACCCTGATCCAGAAGATGAAAGCAGCAAAAACTTAAACCAAACAAAAACCATGAACTTTCAACATCAAGTAACCCAAAAATCATGCAAATTCTACCTATCATAATAAACATGTATACATACCAGTAATTTGGTTAGGGTAGTTGGACATCACAGTAGTAACTCACTACTTACACAACCTGTAAAAGCATTGGTATGAAAACCCACCATTAATTCCCTCTGCCAGCTCTGTTTTATTCATCAGCCCTCTAAATTGTCAGTGTCTCCATTAAAATTTACAGCCCTCTTTCTTCAGCTTCCTACCTATCAACTCCAAAAACATAATAAATGCAACTTTAAATCAATAAATAAGCTTTCTTTGAACTTTCTTTCTCACCTTCTATAAATACATAAAACAAGCTGCATGTTACATTGCATCCAGTTCTAACATACAAAAATTATATATATAACGAGAGTAAGAGTTTATAATTTATGCTACATTGACTTGGGAATGGTATACAAAATGATTAATGTACCTGTTGAAGCTAATTGTCTTCAAAAACCAACATTCTTGGTTTTAATCCTTGTTTTAGGATTGTTTCCTTGTTATATTCATTGATTCTCCTTTGAATTATATGCATTGTCGTGCCCGGGTGTCGAGTTTGTAGTCCGGGATGCTGTAAGATGAGCTGCTTCTACTGATCCGACTGTCCCGGGGAAACTTTTACGCTTGCTCTTCCATGACTGCTCCGTCAACGTGAGTTTCCGTCTCTTGTATCTATCCATCCCTCTATCCATCTATCTGTACATTATACTAAAGTGGCGGCAGCTTCCTAAGAAGAGCCATTTAATAGATGCTAGATAATTAAATGCTATATTATAGCTATGTTCTTGCAGGATTGTGATGCATCAGTGCTAGTAGAAGGGGATGGAACTGAGAAAGCAGATCCTGCAAATAAATCTCTAGGAGGATTTGAAGTAATAGAGACGGCTAAAAGAGAGCTAGAATTGTTCTGCCCTGGAACTGTTTCATGTGCTGATATTCTTGCACTGGCTGCTAGAGATGTTGTCATGGTACCATAAAACCTATCCTTCTTTCTCATGTTCGAGCATGCGCGCACACACACACACACTTTTTTCATTGTTGTTTACAAATGTTCTAATATAATAAAGATATCATGTTTTCAGAACAATCTAACAACACTGCTATCATTAGATGATCTTGAAAGATTTAAGGCATGCTCTAAGTTAGAGATGCGGGTCACTAGTACCGGATGTTTCTCTTCATCTTGATACTTTATTTTGAATGTGTTAACCTCGAGTTCTAGCTGGTTGGCCAACTCTTCCTTGAGCTGGTCAATACTGTAACTCAATGAGAAATCAAATCTAACTACATCATCTTTATAAGTGGCCTTCACTGTAAAGTTGCTTGAGTTATTTTCATTTTGTTGCAAAGCATCTGACTATGTACACTCATTTGCACCATCCAAATGCTCGTGGGCGCATTGAAAATGATCTATATCGCCTAGAGTTTCCATTAAGTTCTCTCTGAGGGTTTCCATTGTGTCCAAGGTCAAGTTGCTAACAGTGTCGGGGGTGGATGATACATGATTTGGCAAAGTAAGCTGGTCTGCTCCCATTATACACTCCCCTACAGTTTCCGTGTGAGATGCTGAATTAGCAGGATTATTCGCCAAGTTCTGCTGCGATGAATCATTTCCAACTGGTTCTTTATTATTCTGTTTCCTCTTCTTTACATTCTGATGCTGCTTCCCTTTTCTGCTTGATTGCCACTTGAGTTTCAAAGCATTCAATCTTCGCTTCATTGTAGACCTTGAGACTACAAATTGTGGACAAGTACGACGAATCATATAAGCAAGACAATGAATCAAAACATAAACCATTTATATTTGACAACAACATCATAAATTAGATAAAGGAGAAAATAGAAGACACAAGTACATAATGAGAAGTACTACGTATGTAATAGCATTTACAATAATGTTACACTAATGGAAGGTGTTAATGGCATCAAAGCACATACGCGAGCTAAAAATCTACTGATTACCAAAGAAACTCGAGCAGTTTTCTAAGAAATCATCAGGATGCAGATCTCACTCTCCAAGATTCTATTACTTTGTCTTTTAAAATATGCTAATGACAATAAATTTTGTAAACCGAAAACTTCTCAATCATATTATTAGCATTTTCTTAAAAAGGAGTGGCAATAGTCTCTAGGAGTAAGAGTAGGCAGTTTCTAAAAACATCAAATAATAATAGAAAGGTAAATTATTAAGAAATGGAAAATGTAGTTTTTAATTCTGTTGAAGTATCAGGTTGATTTGAGGTAGCTTCTTGGTTCATAGAAGTTACCAGAAGCAGCTTATGCCCGAGCACGCAACGAACTTACAGCAGTCACTTTAACAGAATGTAAGTTGTTGTAACAGTCTGCAGTTTTTATAACTTTCCTGAAATCCAGGGGTATTTTGCTGTACATAGAAATACCTGTATTAATCTCCATTCTTCTGTACATTCAAAGAATACAAGTCCCTGCATTCTTCTCCATACACTATGGAATTTTACTGAAGTTTTCCAGCAAACTTAACAAATATAAAAAACAGATGATACAATGCAAGGTTTCATCAAACCGAAACTCTATTCTGAACATCTAAATTTACTAAGTGTATGCCCATGATATATATTATTGTACTATGCATATGATAAATCATCACTTATTGTTTTTATGATTTACTCTAGGAAAAAGCTCTTTATTATTACAGTTCCACGTTGCCTACAGCATTATTATTCCTTTTGATATATCAGTGGCCTGATTTACTGATTAAAAATGATATAATAGTTTTGACAGCAACTAACTTAATATTCATCAATGAGTGCACACTACACAATTTTAGCAAGAGTATATATTTGGAATTTGTATGTAAATGCATGGTCTCAGATATTAAAAAGTCTATTATAAACAAAATGCAAACATACTTCCAATTTTATTTGCAGCATCTTCCAGTGTCATGTTTTTGGACCAGAATGGTTGTAGTGTCTCTAAAGTAATTTCTTTTCCTTTCTTACCCTTCACGTTATTATTTTGAGGGATCTGACTCTGCTCGTTTTCTGAATCACGATGACTGTTATATCAGTTCAATTCCTAATTTTCTTCTCTCATAAACAATTCAGTTCAGTTCAGTTCAGCTCAGTTCAGTAAATCAGAACAGACCCTTAATCTAGGAATGTATGACAAAATGACGCGCAAACAAGTATAATTAATGTACATTTTCATTTGTTTTTTCTATTTTTAGCTCCTTATATGTAGCCCTTAGGGCTATGTATAGAATTTTCTAAAGCTGGGAACGGGCCGGGATGGCCCGCGTGCCGCCCGGCACGGCCCGCCGTTCGTCGCAGCCCGGCACGGCCCGATCCCCAGCCCGACCCGGCACGCCAGTCGAGATTCGTGCCACGGGCGTGCCACGGACAGTGTTCTGGAATTGCAGGCCCGGCCCGGCACGAGCACGGCCAGGGCCCGGCGTGCTGGCCCGCCGTGCTGACACGTCGGCCCGGCACGTGGCACGAAGACCAGGCACGGCATTCGTGCCGGCCCAGCACGGCCCGCGTGCCCACCTTGGTTTATAACGGTAATATTACCGTTTTTTGCACATAATTAGCCAAAAAACGGCTAGTTTTTGGCCATCTAGCTCCCCAAAAATTCTATAAATACCCACCTCCATTTCATTTCCAAATCACAAAATCACAATCTCTTCTTCTTATCTCTTAATCTCTTATATTCTCTAATAATCCTTTTTTCTAAAATTCTCTAATTATTCTCTAATTATTTTCCTAATATCGGAAAAAAATTAAAAAGTTCGTAATCGTAATTAGTGGAGCATTGAAGCACGGTTGTAAGATCTAAACTAATCATTAATTTATTATTTTTTTATTGTTATTATTAGAATAATCTTGTTTAATTATTATTGTTGTTAATTGTTATTATAATTGTTATAATTGTTGTTATTAGTTATTATTATTGTTACAATTATTGTTATTATTTTTTTATTGTTGTTATTGTTATTGTTATAATTGTTGTTATTAGTTATTATTATTGTTATTTTTATTGTTAAAATTGTTGTTATTAATTATTATTATTGTTAATCAGTTTTTATTAAAAATCTAATTGTTAATTATGGCATCGAACAACCCATCATCATCTAGGGGGGGGGAAAGGCCGACTTGGCCGTAGTAGTAGCTCTAGAGAACCACCTAATACAACGAGCCCCCAAATTCCGAGTCCAACCAATGACCCCGGTTACTCCCCCCCGGGCTATGAGCCATTTAGGCACGATGGTAGTTCCGGTTTTCAACCCTATTATATGTCGGGATTTCCACCACCACCACCAAACCAATTTTCACCATCAAACCAATTTCAAAATCCACAACAATTCCCACAATTCGGTCAATTCCCGCCTAATTATTTTGGTGATCAACAAAACTATTATTCTAGCCAAAGTAGCCAAGAAAGTACCCAAATTCCCTCCGGTTCTACCCCTTCTGTTACTACTAACCCAAACACACATCATGAATGGTTCAGCGAAAGTGAGATGGTACTTTTGAAAAACCGAAGGAGTGAGGTATGGCGTCATTTCGTCCTAAATAAACCCAACCAAACATATGCAAAATGTAAAACATGTAATGGTGTATTCACGGCACTATCCAAATCCGGGACGGGACACCTAACTAGACACATGAAAGCTTGTGCAAAACCAGCTATTGATCCGACCCAACCAAAAATTTCCCAATACCATCCACACGGCTTCACCTACAACTATGAGAGGGATAGGGATGAACTAGGGAAAATGATAGTACACGCCGAACAACCTTTTCTTTTCTCGGAAAGTGACCCATTTAACACCTACATTAACAAAGCACTACAACCCCAACATAAAAGAATATCTAGGAAAACCGTTCGTTCCGCCGCCATGAAAAACTACCTAGAGTACAAATTGCGGTTACAAGCCGAATTGAGTAACCTTAACTGTAGAGTGTCTTTGACAGCCGATTCTTGGGATAATGGTTATAAATATCACTATTTATGTGTGACTTGCCATTGGGTAGATGATCAATGGTTGTTACAAAAAAGAATAATACATTTCAAAATGCTGGAATACCCACACACCGGCATTAACATTGCTCACCATTTAATGCAAGCAATAGACGAATACAACCTTCGAGATAAAATGATGTCTATGACTTTTGACAATGCAACCTCTATGACATACACAGCTAATCTTGTCAAACAAAACTTAACCGATGTAATATTAGACGGTGATGCTCTTCATACTAGATGTGTTTGCCATGTACTTAACTTATGTGTACAGGATGGAGTTCGGGCAATTGGCCCATACTACAACAAAATCAGAGATGCTATTATGTCTATTAATAGCTCAAACATGAGGTACCAAGAATGGAAGACTTTTCTAAGACAGCAAAAGATAAGGGCAATAAAAATCAAAACCGATTGCCCAACTAGGTGGAATTCCACCTATGACATGTTAACTAAGACAATTGAGTACAAGGGCCCGTTAACAATATTTTACAACCAAAAATTTCCACAAAATGCTTTATATGATGATGATTGGTATAACTGTGAAAGATATATGCAATTTTTACAGTTATTATATAACATGACGTATTGTTTTTCTTCTGTTTACAGTCCTTGTGCTCAAAACTTTCTTTCTAATGCATGTTTACTCGCCCAACTTTTCGCTGATCATCGCAACCAAAGTGATTATGATCAGTATCTTCCAGCAATGGAAACAAAGTGGCGTAAATATTATAGTGAAATTCCTTTGATTTATATTTTTGCTTCCATATTAGATCCTAGGCAAAAGTATGAAAACACATTTATGTTAGTTGACATTTATTTTCAATGCCTGAATCTTGACGATGATGTAGAAACGTATAAGAGTATTGTGAAGGATCAGTTTTTTGCTTTATATGGAGTCTATGAAAGCAAATATGGCACCGCTCCTCGCTCAGGGCCTTCCCAACCATCCAAAAACGTAAGTAAGAAGGCCAAACATTTATTTTCACAGGCTACTAACTTAATTTCAAGGTTTTCAGGTGATTCATCAATCAGGAGAACGCAAAGCGACGTCTCGGAGTTGCAGATGTACCTGAGTTATGACTTCACCAAAGGCATGGACGACGATGAGATTAACAGCCTCGACCTCCTTGCATGGTGGAAACAACAAAGCACGAAGCATCCAACTTTGGCGGCAATGGCACGA